TTTCGAGTTTCGGATGAGGTTTCGGAAACTATAATCCGAAACCCGAAACTTTCGGATTTGGCAAAAAAGGTTTCGGTAACCAACTCTAGCTGAGGCCAACAGTAGTGCCGAAATTGGATTGTATAAAAAATCTATTTAGTAGAGATGAAACTCGAGCAATAAAAGGGTTTGTTTCTCCGCTTTAATTTCTTTCTATTCGTGTTATCTAAGGACAAAATAAAACGTGTTGATATATACGGGTCATGTTGGTTTCTGGTTAATTTGACCGGTTAATTTAACCAAACTCGAATCAGCATAAATTAATTGACTTGGTCAAGTTGAATAATATTATTTACGCTAGTATTATTATTGCTCTGTAACGAATTGAATTCATTTTGCAATTATCTTTTAATATTAGTACACTTCGCTAATAAAATGTTATTTCCAAAGAAATATTCAATAATATACTTTCTGTATTTATTCGGTTAAAATCTAAATATCAAAATGTAATAGTAATTAGCCGTAAACACAATTCAGTATGAAAAGTTTAGAATACAACAGGAAATTCATTCATGATATAAGAATACAGGAAAATAATTCATAATATAATAAAACCCAAATCGAATTCAAAAAGTTATTTTTGAAATTGAAGATTATAATATTAGGTTCCGATTTCAAAGATTGATCGATCTAATATTGATCGGAAATTTTTGTCTTGTAAAGTATTGAAAAGTTTTTCAAGGATATATGTTATGAAATTGGTTGCGCTAATAAGATTTTAGGTACAGTACTTGTTTTCGTGCATGTGATACGTATAGGTTTATTAGAATCATTTGACTATCCTGAATTAACTGAAATGCCATCCATCCAACTTTCTTTATGAACAGTCACTATTAAAATAATGCATTTATAAGCAAAGCAGTTTGTCTTTGTAAAGGAAATTGTTTGTCTAAACGTTGTGCTTGTAAAAATATAACAGTAGGCATCATGGCGGCAACATAAATTTTATACATTCGGTATTTAGTTTCTTTTTACATATATGTGGTGGTAGATAATATTGCATAAATTCATCGTCGCCATAGTTTATATGAGTGTCGCTAAAAGAAAACCCGAAAATTTAAATATAAGTCATATTTAAATTTTCGGGTTTCTTTTAGCGACACTCATGTGTAATAACTTATTTTGACTAAATAGTATAATTTGATTCAGTCAAATTGACAACCTAAATATGTTGATTATAGTTCGATTAAGTTACCGGTCAAGTTTAATTTAACCTAAAATCAACATGACTTATAACATTTGATATCCGTGAATTCTCTTATGAATATCCATAAAAAAATTCAGATATTTATCCAATATCATTCGTGGATACTAAAATCTGCGAATATTTGTTGAATAGCCATAACGGATATTCAAAGGACCCAACTCTATTAATTGTCCGGAGCGTAGCGGAGGGCTCTAATTTTAGGAATGCAAGTGATCAATATGATCACGTGAAGAATTCCGTTTGTCCGTTTCCATGCATTCTGATTGGCCAATTGTAGAATAAGTATGCACGTGCCGATCATCATACATAAAATATAGCGCAGACGTCTATTTAAAAAACGTAACTAAGAGCTCACTATTAAAATTTTTAGTTAAAAGCCAAAATAGTTAGTAAAATCTTGAGTTAGTTATGAATTTGTACGTTAATCATTGGATTTTATTTTATAGCTCCGGACATACAATGCTATGCATTTCCTAGTATATTTAATCATATTATATTGATTAGTGCTACCTTAAAAATAAAGATACCGCACATCTTGCTTATAATTTGGTGGATTGAATTTTTCAACAAATAGAGGCATCCAAATTTAAAATCATTTTTAAAAGAAAGCACATAGTATACTAAAGTGTTATTACTTAATTAGATACGTTAAATGAATCGAGATTTCAATTCAATTAATATTATAAAAAGATAAAGATGTGTTTATTTCTTGCCAATAAGATTTTTATATCACAAAAAGTATGATAAATTATAAAGGTATAAAATATTGCATGATAATATGAGTGCCAAGGCCGCACCAGTCGGCCATAAATAATAAATTATAAAGGTGTAAAAGTTACAGTATAAATAAAAAAATTTATACAAAGAATAGAAAAAAGGTTTCTTGGTTGTACTCAGTAATCTTATTTGCTAAGTAATTTACTAAATCCAATGGATTTTGAACCTATGAAAAATTTACTAAATCTAACGGATCTTGAACCTATAAAAATTATAAATCAGTATAATTATATCTTAAATATTTGAATTAAATAAATGGTTATAGAAATAAATTATTACCTTTACTATACATTTTCATAAAAATTGATGCATTTGATGATTTTGAACTTGTGGTATTAAAAAGTCTACTTGTATAAATTGCTTTAGAATGTAATTTGTAAGAAGGTAATGTTGATGTCGGTAAAATAAATTCATCAAAAGCTCCACTCATTGACCATTTATTGATAATAGTAAATAATTGTTTAGATGTTGGTCTTTTTTTAGGATCAGCATCCCAACATTCCTCAATTAATCTAGCCATTATTTTTGGTACATCTGATGGAATTTCTGGACGTAAACCGTGACAAATTTTTAATACAAGACCATTATCATGTGGAATATTATAATACGGTGGATAACCAGTTATTAATTCCCATGCTACAATACCAAAAGAGTATACATCTGATGCCTTAGTATATTCTTCTCCACATAAAACTTCTGGTGCAACATAAGGTAGAACTCCAAAAATTTTTTCAGTTTTTGAATTTGATTTTTGATTTTCTTGTTTGCATAAACCAAAATCTGAAATACTTAAAAATCCATTAATAAGCAAAAGATTTCCTGGATGAAAATCTTGATGAATTAAATTTTTCTCATGTAAATTATAAAGTCCTTTACTAATTGACCATAATATCCGACCTTTTTCATCTGCATTCATATTATTAGCATTCATATATGCACGAAGACTACCTGATGTAGCATATTCCATTACTATCATATAATTATGTGTTTTAGGATCCTGAGTAATACCTAAACATCTAATAAAATGTGGATCATCAACTACCTGAATATTTGATTCAATTTCTTTCAAAAGATCAGAAATTGGATCTATTGGATTATTTATTGCTTTTAATGCTACACTTTGAATTCCTACACGAATCCACTTTTGATTATTTATATCCCAACTTCTAATTTGTCCATCTTGCCAATTGCTGAATATACAGACCCAAATCCACCTTTTGTCATATATTTTACAAGGCGTAATCTATTAAATGGAATCCATTCAATAACTTTATATGGTCTATCTGCAACAAGTTGTAATTTTTGAATAAAGCCATCTATTTTCGCATTATTACTAGTCCAATTTTTAAAATTATTTTGAAAACGACTTGAATTACATGGTTGACACCACTTTGTATCTATAACAGATATTTCTACACAAGGTTGATTACATTCATCACATACTTCTGTTCTTTTTGCTATTCCTGTACTAGTGAAAAATTCAACATCAAGATCCCAATATTCACATTTTTCTACATCGCAATTCCAATATAAATCATCATTCATATCCCAATCTGTGCTAATATGATAGTAATATAAGTCCATTCTACTTGGGTCTATATTGTATACAAAATAATCCAACCCAAAAAAATTATATGGATGTATTTCTAATGACTTTTCAAGAAATGTAAAAGCTTCGTCATATTTTTCCATTTCATAATAAGTTGCACCTTTGGTAACTAATGTCCATGCATGATTTGGATATTTTTCTAATATTTTATTTGCATCTTCAAGTGCTTCTTCATATTTTTTTAGCTCTCGATAAATTTCTCCTCGAGTTGCTAATGCATCAATATTATTTGGGTTTATTGTTAATGATTTATTTATATCTTCAAGCGCTTCATCATATTTATTCAACGTTCGATAGGTCTCACTTCGAAAATATAATACCAATGCATTATTGAAGTCAATTTCTATCATTTGGTTTAAAATTTCTAGTACTTTGTTATGATCTGCAATTGATTCATCATGTTTATTCATTTCATTATAAATCCAACCTCTATTATAAAATGCTTTAAAATCATTTGGACAATTTTTTAAAAATTTATTTAAATTTGCAAGTGATTTTTCCATTTTATCTATATTACGATAAATTATTCCTTGATCAACTAGTGTAAATATATAATTTGGTTCTATTTCTTGTAATTTGTTTACATCTACAAGCGATTCTTTCCATTTATACATCGTACGATAAGTTAATCCACGAGATCTCAATGCTAATACATTATTTGGACTAATTCCTAATGATTTATTTAAATCTACAAGTGATTCTTCATATTTATCCAAATTCCGATATATTGATCCTCTAATTCTTAACGCAAATGAATTATTTGGTTCAATTTTTAATATTAGGTTTAAATCTTTAAGAGCTTCATCATCTTTACCCATCAAATAAAAGGTTTCAGCACGAATTTTCAAAGCATCTATGTTATTTGGGTCAATTTCTAATGATTTATTTAAATTTGCAAGCGCTTCATAATATTTTCCATTTTTAAGATAAATTTCACCATTGCCACCTAATTCCCATTTATTACTGGGATTAATATCAAATGGGGGTTTGAAATATACAAGCCATTCTTCACATTTTCCCAACACGCGACAAGTGGCCCACAATTTCTCAAGGTAAATACATCATTTGAATCAATTTCTAATAATTTAGTATAATTTGAAAACGCCTGTTCATATTTGTCAATCAAACTATAAATTTCTTTATTATTTGTTATTATAAATGCGTCGTTTGATTCAATATCTAATGCTTTATTGAAATTGGCGGATGCTTCATCATATTTACCTAACTTATAAAAAACTTTCCCACGATTTCGTAATGCAAATGTATTATTTGTTTCAATTTTCAATGATTTATTTAAATCTGTAAGCGATTCTTTATAATTTCCTATTGCACAATAAATTGCACCACGTTGTCCTAATGCATGTACGTTTTTTGGATTATTTTTTAATAATCTATTCAAATCTGCAAGTAAATCTTCGTATGCTTCCATTTCAGAAGTGATTTCAAAAATAGCTTAATGAATATGGTATGGTAATCTGAAAGGAGGAAATATTAAAGAATGTGTTGGAGATATAGATTTATTAATATAAAAGAATCAGTTGGAGATAAAGAGATTAATGAAAGAATAGAAAAAATGTAGTTTATGGAAAATATTTGAGTGGGTTTTAAAGCAAAAGGAATTTTTAACGACTAGTAAAATTAAAAATCTAAAGAACGTAGATTAAATTATCTTAATAAATCAATAATTTGTTCTATTTGTTCGTAAAATCTAATAGAAGCCCAAAATCTTCAAATAATGTCAAAGCAAAAAAAGATACAAAAAACGTCGAGATACTTTTAAAAGGTATGCACGTACGTACGTACGTACATATTTTCCCGTTGTAGTTAAGTGCAACATTGAATTTCCTTAACTCATTGAGTCGATAATCGTGTCGTGTATAATTAAATGTCAACAGATATCAGACACAAGTAATACAACACGAACCTTGCATCACCCAAAGATCTAATTCCCTTTTGTTTTGGTATGACGCTTGAAGTTGATCATTGTGAAGTGAAAAGCCTGTCAACGAAGTGACAGGGCGATCATTATTGCGAGATCAGATGACTTTATAGCCGGTCTCATTCCAGG